CCCTCGATCTTCGGGTCCCGCCTCCGGCCGCCTGGCCCCGCCCTTTAGGCGAGACGATGGGGGGAGCCCTCACGGGGAGGGGCTCGGCCTGCTGCGGGTTGGCTGGGACGCCCAGTACGCCTTTGTGCGGCGACGAGCGGAGGCCGGGGGCGCGCAAACATGGATTAGCGATCCATGGATCTGGCGCGCGGTCTCCAAATCCATGGATCGGGGGAGGTGCCCTCCTCAAAATAAGGCCAGCGCCGCCTCTTTCGGCGGCGGGAATCCGCGATTTCCAACGGAAACGGGACCCGTCGCTGATCCACGCCCCCTCGATCCATGTTTGCGATCGCCTGAGAAGGAGGGGAGGCGAGAGGCCCTTACGGGCCCGCCTCTTGGGGCCCTAGACGGCCCCTTTTCTGCAGCCTTCGCTGCCCCCCAATCATCGCCCCCCCTCATCGCCCCCCCGTCACGCGCCCCCCCTCTCGGCGGCGAGCGGGGGGGGGGGGGAGTGAAAAGGAGAACGCCTTCTCAGAAGGCTCGGGAGTCCTCCAGCCTTCCGAGAACTTCTCCCGAGCCTTCCCCCCAGAAAAAAGAGAAAACTTGTCGGAAGGCGCGAGGGCTTCTGAGAAGTCCCCCCGCCTCCTGAGAAAGGCTTCTCCTTCTCACTTCCCCCCTCGCTCGCCGCCGATGATGAGGAGGAGAAGGAGAAGGAGGAGGAGGAGGAGGAGGAGGGGGAGGAGGAGAAGGAGGAGGAGGAGGACGAGGAGAAGGAGGAAGAGGAGGAGGAGGAGGAGGAGGAGGAGGAGGAGGAGGAGGAGAGCGAGGGGGGAAATGAGGGGCGCCACCCCTGGCGCCGCTCCCGGGAAGGGCACCCCAACGCTGCGCTGCGCCGGCAGCGCCCCGCATCTCGACCGCGCGGGTTGCACGCCGTGGGCGGCGGAGGCCCTCTCAGAAAACTTCGGTGGCAACTCGTCGGCTCTTGCGAATCGACGCTCGTCGACGCTGAATCGACGCTGGTCGACGCTCATCGAGGCTGAATCGACGCTAAGTCGGCGCTGTCTCATCGACTCCCACACGCCAATCGAAGACAAAGACGGAATTCGGAGGGTATACCAAGATCCCATGGTTCCCTACCGAAGAAAACGCCGGAACTTCGCAAACACCCTCCAGCCTTCTGGGGAGTTTTCTGTGTGTTCGGGGAAGGCCTGGATAACTTCTCAGAAGGCTGGGGGTCTTCCAGGGCCTTCTGAGAAAGCCCGCCCCTCCGCCGATGCTCGCCGTACAGTCAGCGCGTGTAAGATCCACGGTAACGGTGCAAGGACCTTGGAGGGCCAGGTTGACATGTTTCGAACGGGGCTGGCCAGCGAAAGCGGCCAAGGATGGGCCGAAAGGGAACGATGCAAAACCAACCTTGGAACGTCGCTCATCCTCACTATCCGTGTTGACTGTATCGCCACAGCGATCACTGCGTGGGCGCCAAACTTACAAATATGCTCTCCGCAATTCTGGGGCAGTCTGGCGGGATCAGAAAAAACGGCACGGTGGCGAGCGGGGAGTTGGGAGAGGGCAGCCCAGGAGACAAATGCGAAGTTGCGCAGAAACAACTTCTGTTTGGGACTTGCTGCGTCGGATGCGAATTTACGCCGAATCCGGGTGAACCCCGCTCCGCCCCAAAATGCTCTGTAGTTACATGCGCAATACTCAGCCAGGAGGACCCAATAGTTGCAACTGTGCAGCTCTGAAAAGGCTACGAAGAAAAGCGGCGGAAACTTTTATCAACAATCCCCAAGGGCGCCATTTCAGCCACACAGGAAAGTAAATCTCGCAATGAAATCCACTGCGCAACACGATAGAATGATACATGCATATCCGTCACGGTGCCTGCACGGAGTGAATTATAACCTGGGCTGGCAAGGGAACGGAAAGAGCGATTCTGTGGAGCGGACGTGTCACATGGTCTCATGGGTTCGACGGCTGTTCACGCGGCAACGATTTGGACATCGGATCGCCATGCGTGAATGCTGCAACAAACTGGAATGCGAGGAGCGGCATGCCAGCCGCTTTGGAGTGCGTCGTGTGGGAGGGCGGGTCATGGTGGAGGCCTCCGGGACACCGCCGGAAGATGTGAAGCCCACGGTCGTATCGCAGCTCGGAGGGCGAATTGATACAACGGCGGCGAAACAACAACGGTCAAATCCGGTCAGTTGGTCCCGGATCCCTGGAAGGGTTCGAACGCCGATGCTTTCCAAACTGCTTCCAGCCGTGGCAGCGAAGCGGCCTCCGAGAGTCCAAAAGGCAGACAGATGCTCGGAGGAGCATCTGGGAGGCGCCTTGGAAGCCTCTAAAGGCTTTTCAGGGCCGTTTTCGGGCCCTCTTGGGCCGTCCAGGGGTTCTCTTGGGCCGTTTTGGGGCCCTCTTGGACCGTCTTGGGTTAAGTCGGGCGTGTCCCCCTACAGTGGGATTTTGGGCGAAAAATGCAAAATACTCAAAACATGCCCTCCAAATCGGCAGAAATAGTAACAAAAATCGTCCCCAGACTTTTTTTATAACTATTTTTGATCTTTCCTCCTGTAGAGGGACAAGCCCGACTTAAGTCTTGGGGGGCCTGGGCCAGCTCGGGGCGCCCGCGGGGCCCTCTTGGAAGCCTCCTGTGGCCCCATCGAGGCTCCCCTGGGAGCCGCCTGGGCCTCTGTGCCCTCCTGGGCCCGTCCTGGGGCTGTCGGGGGCCGTCTGGAAGCTCTCTTGGGATGTTCTCAGGCCCTCTAGGGAGCCTCTGGGGATGTGTTGGGGCGACCTCGGAGGCCCCAAAGGAAGTTTTTGGCAATTTTTGGCCAGAAAAAAGGGAGAACCCCCAAAACCGTCAAAAGCCTGAGTGGAATCCATGGTTTTTGCCTCTTGAGTCCCTCTTGGAAGTCCTCCTGGGGGCCTCTCGGGGCGTCTGGGGGGGCTTCTGAGGCCGTCACGGGGCCACCGTCGCCCCTCCTGGAATGCTCTTGGGTCGTCTTGGGGCCTCCAGGGCGTCTCTTGGACCGTCTTGGAGATATCTTGAGCCGTCTTGGGAGCCTCTTTTGGGTCGGGCGAAAGGGGGGGATAGCAAAGGGGGGGGTTGAGAATCAGCTCACGTAGCTGATTTTCCCGGCGCCTCCCGGCGCCGGAGGCGGCTATGTATCGAGGAATGGGCCCCTCGGCGAAGCCGAAACCAGCTGCATGCAGCAAATTTCGTAACCCACCCTTTCCCAATCCTCCCCTTTCGCCCGGCCCGACTCTTGGGAGTCTCTTGGACCGTCCTGGGCCGAAAAAGCCGCCAATATGGCCGCCGGAGGGCGTGTTGGAAAGATCTGCGCGGTTACCCCCACCGGACCCCTCCCATTGGGGGTAAAGCCCTGTGCAGACCTTCTCTCGCTAGCGCTCTTTCCGTCATGCGCTGTGTTGTCTGGCGGGAAAGTCTGCATAATTTTAATGGACCCCGGACTCGCACGCACCCCTAAAACACCGCCCCTTCCGGAATTGTTTTCTGGCGGTCTTTTCGGCCGTCAGAGGGCCAAGGTGGCCTCCAAGACGGCTTCCAAGGCAGCCAAGACGACAACAAAAACGGCTCAAGCTGGCCAACGACAGCCCAAGAGCCTCTCAAGAGAGCCCCAAGACGGCTCCAGATAGCCCAAGAGGGCTTCAAGACGGCCCAAGAGGCCCCCATGCCGGCCCGAGAGCTCCAAGAGGCCTTTCTGGAGAGCCCCAGGAGGCCTAAACCATTGATTTCCCTTAGGTTTTTGAAAGGTGTTGAGGTTCTCATCTGTTCGGGTTTCCCACCGCCCAAGACGGCCCAAGAAGCCTCCAAGAGGCCTTTACGATAGCTCCAAGACTGCTCAAGAGGCCCCGAGGAGGACCCGAAGTCGGCCCAAAAGACCCAACGATCGCCGAAAAAGGCTCCCAAGAGGGCCCCCAAACGGCCGTGAACCGCTCCAACATGGCACCAACGCGGCCTAGAGGCCCCTAAGGCGGCCTCCGTAGGCGTCAGACGGGCCAAGAGTCCCCTAAGACGGCCCAAGAGGCCCCAAGAGCAAGAGGCCCCATGAGGCGCACAAGAGGCCTCCAATAAGCTTTCAAGGAGCTCCCAGGAGGCCACCAGGAAGCCCCAAGAAGGCCCCGTGAAGCCTTCTCCTCCTCCTCCTCCTCCTCCTCCTCCTCTTTTTCTGCCTCTCTTCCTCCTCCTCCTCCTCCTCCTCCTGCTCCTCCTCCTGCTCCTCCTCCTCCTCATCCTCCTTACCGCCCGAAGGGGACGAGGTCGGGATCGCGATCCGCCCCAATGCAGACAAGTCGTCGGAATTGCGCTGTTCCTACATTCAGCCTCCTTCCTGCTGCGCCTTCGCACAGGCGCGGTGACGGGGTTTGCCGCGGGCAGCTGGGCACACACGTACAATGACACATGTCGTGGAACAGTCAAAACCATAGTTGCTTGGGTTATTTGAGGCTTGTGGGCTGGGCTGTGATCGGCGGTCGAGCAACGCTGAGCGCCAGCGAACGCCATGTGCGTAAAGCTGCCAAGTGCGATGGAGCGACTACTGGAAACCAAATGGACTCAACTGTGGCGCGCTGTGGCAAAAGGGTGAACGGAACCATGCGGGCCTCCAATTATGCTGTGAGGCACAGACAGACGAGCAACAACGATGCGAAGCGCCGAGGTCTGACCGACACCGATATGACGTGGCAACAACTCAGCGCCAGTGCATCGAGACACGACGCCGGGCGGCGGGGCCGGAGCCAGCCGCATCCAGAAGATTTCGTGACCCCCCCCCCCATCCCTCCCTTCCCCTTTCCATGTCCCTTTCCCCATCTCTTTCGTGCCCTCCCGCTCCCTATCGCTCCCCTTCCTCGTCCTCCTATCCCATTCCCGATCTCTAGCCCTCTCGTCCGACCCTGAAGAAAGAGAGGCGAGGAAGTGTAACGAAGAGACAGAACGCCCCGAACGCTCAAAACCACGTCGTGGACACCGTGTGGTCTTCTTTCCCCTCCCGCCCCGCCTCGGCCTCGGCTTCTTGCAGCCGAGCGGGCCCCAGCCGCCGCACACTTCGTTGGTGCCCTTGTTGGAGAACCCGCAGGAGCAGAACCACGATGGGCCGGTGTCCTGTAACCAACGGCCGAAGCAGCCGGGGAGGACACGAGGCAAGAAGCGATGCGAGCCGAATGTCCTGGTCTGCGGCAAGATTGGAGGCAGGCTCTCGGGGTGCGTGCGACAAAATCCTACCAACAGCTACCGCTGGAAGGTTGGAGAAGACACGGAGGAGGAGGAGGAGGAGGAGGAGGAGGAGGAGGAGGAGGAGGAGGAGGAGGAGGAGGAGGAAGGGGCCACGGGACACACGAATAAATAGAACAAATCCCAGGATTCCCCATCAGAGTGAGGGGGCCGAACTGTCATTCACTGTCCCTGGGCGCGTGGCTGAACTGAGGCTCTGCAATGCGGATTGTTCTTGTTGTTTGTTGTTGTTTGTTGTCGTCGTCCCCCCCGCGACCAAGCCCGCGACCCATCCACGACCTACCCCGCGACCCACCCGCAACCCACCCGCGACCAACCACGCGACCCGCCAACGACCCACCCGCGACCCATCCGCGACCCACCCGCGACCCATCCGCGACCGGGCCGGCGACCCAACCGCGACCTGCCCGCGACCCACCTGCGCCCCACCCTCCACCCACCAACATTGCTTCAAAAAAAATGGCGCCTGCGGCGGGCTCGTCGTATAATTTGTTAAAAATTGGCGCCTTCGGCGGGCTTCTTCAGAGCCTCGCAGACTGCCGACGTCCCCACACCGCCCCCTCACTCGTATCCGCAACTGCGAGCTGCTACGGTTATTTTCTATCCCAACAGCCCTCTAGGCGAGAGATGGTCTAACGATACCTTTCTTGCCTCTTCCACAACCCCTTCTTCCCCTTCGGGGAGGGGTTCACCCCTCCCCCTACCCCTCCCCTGGACCTGGACGGGGGGGCCGCGAGGTGTCAGAGGGTCCTTCTTTCGCCCAAGATGGCTCCAAGAGGGCCTCAGAGAGCCCAAGATAGCCGCCAAGATCTCTCAAGATACCCCAATTTGGCGCAAGATAAATAACAACATACCTCCAAGAAGCCCCAAGATGGCCACAAGGCGGTTTCAGGTGCTTCTGGCGACCTCGCAGGACCTCCCCGAGAAGCCAAAATCCTTCAAACACCCTAAGACAATTCTGATTTTTGCCTTCTCGCTTTTCGCTTCCGGTGCGCTTTTGAGGCCTCAAGATGGCCCTAATATTGCCCAAGAGAGCTCCAATAAGGGCCCCAGAGGCCTCCAATACTGCCCAACAAGCTCGCCCCAAGAGCGCCCCGACAGGCTATTTCGATGGCCCCGGTGGAGGGGGGCAAATCGAGGACCCCCCCTCGTTTGATCGATGGTCTCCAAGATGGCCCCAGGAGGCGTTCCATAGCTCCCAAGAGGGCCCTAAGAGAGGCCCAAGAGTGGGGCCCCCAAGAGGGCCCCAAGGGTCTCCAAAAGATCGCCAAGCGGACCCCAAGACCTCCCAAAGAGCCCCAAAAGGGCCCCAAGATGCCCCAATACAAACTCCAAGAGAACCCCGATATCCCCCAAAACAGCCTAGTAGCTCCAAGAAGGCCTCCGATGCTCCAAGATAGCTTTCAAGATGGCTCAACACCCTCCTTCCTCCTTTCCTTGCACGCTCTGTTTCACTATATGTCTCTTCTCTCCATTTCCAGACAGCTCTCATGGGCAGGGCTTCTGAATGGGCTGGTGGAAGCATAAACAATTGAAGTGCCTCCCTCAGAGCTCGCACCCGAGCCACTACACTGGGCCCCTGGCCCCCGAGTTACAACAACAACGGCTCCCGCCTGGTATTTCCTGACCAAATCGCGCTCTCGCGCGGGACTTCCCCACAGTCTATACAAGAATCGCGCTCTCGCGTGAGAGTTCTCATTCAAACGCCGCGTCTTCGACACTCAAGAATCACGCTCTCGTTTTGGCTTTTCTTGCTATGTATCTGGCGCTCGCGCTATCGCTCGAGACTCCCTCGCGATTCAATTCATGCAAGACGCGCGCTTCAATAACCCGCCTGCTCGACCTGGCCGCTTGGGCCCGCTTTCCCGACCCGCCCGTTTGGGTCTACCCGCCTGATCGGCCCGTCTGGTTATGCTACGTTCGTTCTGCTCATAGCCCCTTCCTGCTAATAACGTGTTCCATCCTTCTCCCATCCCCCTCCATCCGTTCTCTTTCCCTTGTTTCAGGGACTACGCCAAGTACACGCGGCAGGGAAGGACGATATACCCTTAGAGGGGTTCGGTCGAAGACGAAGAGGTCAGGTACATATGGTGTGAGTTCTACGTGTTGGGTGGCACGCGAGGAGGTAAAAACGAACAATATTGAAAGCATTGTTGTTATTATTGTTTTTGTTGTTGGTGGTGGCTGCCCATTTCTAAAGAACACATATTGTTAATCCTCCTGTGGTTACCGTTGTATTTTTGAAGTTGAAATGCTTCTCCCGGGGCTCGCACCCTGTTTCCATTTTAACAAAAGGGTAGCGAAAGGTCACCAAACTGGGTTTTTGACACCCGGCAGGAACAACGGCTCCCGCCTGATACTTCTTCACGAAGTTGTCCCAAATCGCTTTCTCGCGCGAAATGTCCTCACAATTTATGCAAGAATCGCGCTGTCGCGTGGGACTTTCTCGCCATTTATTCAAACGTTGCGCCACCGACAATCAAGAATCACGCTGTCGCTGTGGATTTCCTGACAAATTTGCTTGGGAATCGCGCTATCGCTCGAGATGTCCTCGCGATTCATGCAAGACGCACGCTTCAGCAACCCGCCGGCTCGACCTGGCCGCCTGGGCCCGCCTTCCCGACCCGCTCGTTAAAATCTGCCCGCGCAGTCTGCCCGTCTGGTTCTGCCGTGTTTTCTGTTCCTCGCCCCCCCCCCCTCCTGCTACTCTCTCTCGTGCTCCATCCTCCTCCCTCCCCCTTATCCAGTCCTTCCTCCATCCGTCCTCTTTTCCCCTGCGTTAGGGGCTGCACGAAATTCACGTTGCTGGTAAGAAAGACGTATACCCCAAGGGGGTACTATTGAAGACGAACAAGGCGGGTACCGAAGGTTTGGGATATACGTGTTGAACGGCCCGCGAGCACATAAGAACGAACAGTATTAACATTGTTTTTGTTATTGTTGATGCTGTTGATGTTGTTGTTGTTATTGTGTTTGTTTTTGTTGACGTTGTTGTTGCTGTTTTTTTGTGTTTGTTGTTTTTATTGGTTGTCGTCGTCGTGCCCGCGACCCGGCCCGCGACCCGCCCGCGACCGACCCGTGATCTACCCGCGACCCACCCGCGACCCGCCCACGACCCAACCGCGACCCACCTGCGACCCACCCGCGACCCACCCCGACCCACGCCGCGATCCGCCCGCGACGCGCCCGCGACCCACCCGCGACCCGGCCCGCGACCCACCGGCGACGCACCCGCGACCCACCAATGGCCCACACCCGACCCAAGCGCGACTCACCAACGACCCACCCGCGACCCACCCGCGACCAACCCGCAACCCACCCGCGACCCACCTTGCGACCTGCCCGTGACCTACCCGCGACCCACCCCGCGCCCGCCCCCTCACTCTTATCTGCAACTTCGGGGTGCGACGTATTATTTCATATATATATATATATATATATATATATTTGGGTGCTCGTCTGCCCCACCATTCCCGATGTGTCTGTATGTTTGTCCCCTCCTAAGAGGAGAAAAGGAGGAGGAGGAGGAGGAGGAGGAGGAGGAGGAGGAGGAGGAGGAGGAGGAGGAGGAGGAGGAGAGGAGGAGGAGGAGGAGGCGGGGGAGGAGAGGGAGGAGGAGGAGGAGGAGGAGGAGGAGGAGGAGGAGGAGGAGGGAGGAGGAGGAGGAAGGAGGAGCAGGAGGAGGAGGAGGAGGAGGAGGGGGAGGAGGAGGAGGAGGAGGAGGAGGAGGAGGAGGAGGAGGAGGAGGAGGAGGAGTGTCGTAGATCCAAGAAGTGAACGCCGAGCGAGGCTCAACCGTCACCCTCGGCCTCCCAGACAGGAGGAAGGGGCCCGCAGGCGCCAGCACCGACGGTCAGGGGATAGGCAGGTACCTCGTCGCTCAGCGACTCGCTGCCCAACCGAGACGACGTGGTGCGTAGGGGGGCAGCCGGTTCACCGCGTCACCGCGCAGTACTTCCCGACCGTCGCCCCTGCAGAATCGGATGGCATGTGCAACTGGGTTTGTACCCCAGGGTGACCGGACAGAAATGTTCTGTCTTCGGGGGAGGCCCCGAAGACTCCGCAGAAGGCCAGAGGGGGCTGCCGAGCTTCCCGAGGAGGCCCTCTCTTTCTCACTTTCCCTCCGTGCTCGCTGCCGAACGACTGGCCCTGGACTTGCCTTGGCGGCGCGCCGCGAGGGGAAGTCGGAGGGGGGGCAGGCCTTCTCCGAAGGCGGCGGGGCTTCTCAGCGGCCCTCCAGCCCTTGAGGAAGCGGCCCCCGTCCTCGGAGCAGGAAGGAACTCCTCGGGAGGCGGGGGGCCTTCCGAGCCCTCTGAGGAGGTCCGCCCCCTCTCTGCTAGAAGCTCACGGGAGCCTCCCATACCATCTTGTCGGCTCTTGCGAATCGACGCTCGTCGACGCTGATCGACGCTAGATCGGAGACATAAGACTCGGGTACGGCGGACTCGGGTTGGCCTGACGGGGCCACCGGGAAAATGACCAGACTAAGCCTGGAATATCTGACGCGGACTCCCGCTGCAGACGTCCCACGAACACGGGGTTCGTCAAGATTCCGGACGCGCTCGCCACGACGCGCCTGGCGAACCCGAGCTCCGGCGCTCTCGAGCCTTGCGCCTCCCCGAGATGTAAGGAGGGCCTACCAGGCTCCCATGCTCTCCTGCCGACCAGAGGGGGTGGCAAGAGCACCCCCCCCGGGCGATGCTCTCTCCATGTTGCGTTTTTTTCTTCCCTGAAAGGGCCCCAGGAGACACACACATAAATACACACAAATAACAATATTCCACATATTTTCGCATATTTTCGGGGTTTGTGTCTTCCCCCCACTTCCCATCTATTCCCATATTTTCCTGGGAATCGAGACTTCATTGTGTCTGTGTGCTTTTTCCCCTCCGGACTCCCGCAGACTCCAGCTCTCGCCGGAGCCGCCGAGACCCTGGCCTATAGACCGGGGCTCCCCCCCCCGAGGCGCGCCGCCGAGCCCGCTCTGCGGCCTGCAGCTCGGGCGCCCGGCGGCAGCTCGGGACGGCCCGGGGGGCGCCCGGAGCGCCCCCCGGGGAGAGTGGCCCGAGGCTGGAAGTCCGCCTCGGAGCGACGAGGAACGCCAGAGCACGTTTTTTTCGGGTGGGGGTGACTTTTTTCCCCGGGGCGCGTCGCCGACTGCCACGATCATGTCGGGCGTGTCCCCCTACAGGGGGATTTTCGACGAAACATAAAGAATACCCCAAGCATGCACCAAAAAGTTCAAAACATGGTAAAAAAAATAGCCCCCAGACTATTCTTGGAGTATCTTTTGACTATTTGTTTTGTTTTGTATTTTATTTATTTTTCGTCGAAAATCGCCCTGTAGGGGGACAGGCCCAACTTAATGCCACGAGGCCTGCCCCTGAGGGGCTCGGTCCCCGCAAGAATCGGGCGTTGGTAGAACTGGGTTTAGTGGAACCTGGTTTAGTGATCTGTACGGGGGGCGCCTCCCCGTCCCATTTCCACTAACCGGAACTGCCGTCACCCGAAAAAACACCTGCTGCGGCAGACCTGGTTTAGTGATTCTGGCCACTTCAAAAACTCCGGGGCCCTACCACTAACCGGGTCCTGGCCATACCCGAAAGAAACGCAGGCCCAGCGCCGCCGCCCGCAGGCCCGGCGCGCGCAGGCGCCGAGCACGGCAGGGAGATCGGCGGCCGAGGTCTGCCCGTCTGCGCGCGGGGCCCTCCAGGAGGACAGCGCAGCCCTACAGTCAAAACCCTAATAAGGACGCGCGGTAAGGACGCAAGACCCTTGGAAGCCGAAGTTGGGATTTTTGGGGCGGCGGACTACGAAAACCTCAAGGACGCAGCAGGACAGCGCAGCCCTAAGTTTAAGTCGGGCCTGCCCCTACAGGGGGATTTTCGACGAAAATAAAAAACATACCCCACAAAGAATCAAGAAGTACTCCAGAAATAGTCAGGGGACAATTTTTTGGTATTGTTGTATCTTTTTGGAGCATTTTGGGGGTATGTTTTATTTTTCGTCAAAAATCCCCCTGTCGGGGGACACGCCCGATATAACCCTAAGGGGGCGAAGAACGGTAGAAGATTCGCCGGCCCAACGGGCCAGAGGCGTGCTAAGATCTACGGTTGCAAACTTTCTTTCTAGTTCGCGCGCGCGGGGCGGCTCCTGGGGGTCCCCGGGCGAAAAGTACCCCGGGCGGTCCGACCCAGAGATGGTTTTTCTTCTGAGCGAAGCGGTTCAACAAACTGTTCCGCCGTCGGGGACGCCAGTCCCAGGGCGGCTGGACAGTTCATGCGGTGACGTACCACCGTAGGAGTATCAACTTTCCAGCCGCCCTGGGACAAGCGTCTCCGACGGCGAAAAAGATGATTGAATCTAGTTCTTCGCCCGCGATCTGTTATCTTATGATCTAAAATCAGATCGAGTTCACTTGGCGAACAGCACCTGCCAATTTACGTTGCTCAACTCCATGGTCTGCTTCCCCTTCTCCGTGGACACGAACCGTGTCCTGCGAACGTGGCCGAGAAATTGCCTGGGCGAGGTTGGCCCCGAACCTGTCACGGGAGGCCGCGCACAATTCTGACTCCAGCCGAGTCCTGGGCCAGAGCCACTCGCAAGGCCCATCGGCCACGCGGCCAGGACAACTGCAAACTTTACCCTGGCGGCGTGGCCGCGGGAGCGTGGCTGGACTCCAGGGCCGCCTTCCGGGCCCGTGGCGCCCGGCCAGGCTGTGAAACCTTCGTGCGGCTCGGCCCCGGGAGTGTGGCTGACGTCTGGCCGCCTCGTTTAGGGAACCAAAAAGTGGCATAAACATAAAAACTCGGAGGTCCGCGCGGATTTCTCGGATCGGCGCTGGGGCCCCCCGGCGGCTCTTCCAGCGCCGCCCCTGGCGCGCTCCGCGCGCCAGGGAGGGGGGTCCAGCGCAAATCCGAGAAATCCGCGTGGACCTCCGAGTTTTTACGTTTATGCCACTTTTTGTTCCCCTATCCTTGTCCAGGTCGCACCGGTGGGTGAGCGACGCGTGGCATCCGGTCGCTTCCTCGTTTCGCAGAGCCCCTGAAGCTCAGCACTCCGCATGCCGTGGCATCAACCTGGCCACGGCATGCGTGGGGATCACGGCAAAGCACCGTGCCCCCCGTGGCTCGAGACATTTCTGGAGCTCCAGCGAGCCTCCGAGCGGACAAACAATCGGTCCAGCCTGGGCCAGTCGGCGGCATCACCCACTGCGGCCTGGCACTTGGGCTGATCAGCAGCCCTGGCTTTAGGTCGGGCACGTCCTCCTGCAGAAGATCAACCAAAGTGATCGAAGAATCATCCCCAGAGTATTTTTTGACTATTTTGAACCTTCCACCTGTAGAAACAAAACGCCCGACTGAATCGTGGATGGGGGTGGGGGCGGTCCGTGCTGTCCGTGTTCCAGGAGCTCCGCTGGATTCGCCTCGAAATTCAGGTCATAACGCCCCCCAGGAGAGGTCTGGGAACTCGGGTCTCCTAGATGGGGTCGGAGTAGATGGGGTCGGAGGATCGCGGCGCATCGCCGATGTATCGCTGGTGCGGCTCGATGCGGGGCACGATTTTCTCCAAGCTGGCGTCGCCGATGCATCGCCCACGTCGACGATGCATCGCCGATGTATCGCCGATGCGTAGCCGATGTATCGGCGATGCGGCGCGATCCCCCGACCCCATCAGGGGGCCTGGGCTGGGGGGCCCCCGGGAAGAGGGCGGCGGTCCTCGTGCTCCCTCGGCGGGGTGCCGGGAGCGCTAGCGGCTGGGGGGCCTGCGAATCCAAACTGCGAGGGCACGAATACGGGTATGTTCGCCTCTCGTGAAAAGTTCCATACCAAAACATCGTGGGGTATTTAATTAGGGTACAGGGTATAGGGTAACAGCAACAGTACTTGTTTCACATAATTTTGCCCAGCCCCTTCCCCAAAACGTTGGGTTCGTCCACCATTGTTTTTGGACGGTCCCGGGGCCTCGCGACAGCACCAAGAGGGCTTGTCTTCTTTCGAGACGTCGGATGTCCGGGGCCCTCTGCAGGAGGTCGAGGGGAGGTCGAGGGGAGGGGAGGTCGAGGAGGAGGGGGGAGGAGGTCGTTATCCCCATCACCATCATCCCCATCACCATCATCATCATCACCATCATCAACATCATCATCATCAGCATCATCATCGTCGTCGTCATCCTCATCGTCATCATCAGCATCGTTATGATTACCACCATATTCATCATCATCACCATCATCATGATCATCATGACCATCATGATCATGATCAGCAGCATCACCATCATCATCACCATCACCATCACCATCAGCATCAACATCATCAGCAACATCATCATCAGCATCAGCATCAGCAGCATCATCATCATCAGCACCAGCAGCATCATCATCATCATCACCACCACCATCATCATCATCATCGTCATCGTCATCATCATCATCATCATCATCCGCAATGTGCTGCCATGACAAGCGCCAACTATTGAGCGGTTGGGCTTTTTTGGCCAAAGCGAGCCGCGGCCACGAAGGGGGACCCCGACCTGGACCAGAGGAACGGCCCAGGGACCAGAGCCCCCCTTCGAGGTCAAAGTGGTCTCCACTTCGGCGTGTTGACTGTGCAGCAGTTGTGGGAGGAATGCAAGGGGAGGATTTTAAACCCGCGTGTTCCCGCCCGTGAGTGGGTGCCCCTGGTCTCGGCACCCCGCGCAGGCAGAAAGAGTGCAAGGGGAGGAGGCACAGAGAGGGGAGGAACACGAGTCAGAGGAACGGCCCAGGGAACCAGGGCCCGTCCTGGGGTCAGGGAGGCCCTCCTTTCAGTGGCTTGTCTGCGCAGCAGGTGGTGAGGAGTGCAAGGGGAGGAGACACAGAGGGGAGAGGAGCACGAGGCTGCCGGGGGGACAAAGGGAAGGAGTGCGGGGAGAGAGCGAGGCGTGCGCCGAGTCCTTTCCCTTGCCCCTGCCCTTCGCCTGACGCAGCTTCTTGCTGGCGTCGCCGTCCTTGGGGGCTGGGTCTGTCCCCCTCTGCCTCAGCATCTCCCTCCTGCTCCCACTCCGCCACGTCCTGCTCCTCAACTCCTGCTCGTCCTTCTCCACTCCTGATCCTCCTCTTCCGCTTCCACTCCTGATCCTCCTCCTGATCGGCGTGGGATCCCGGAATCGGGCACGCCAACACCGACAACTGGGCGGGCTGCGACTCTGGCTCTGGTGCAGGCCGGGTCGTGAACCCAGGGAGGGAGCTTTCCCGCCCCGAGGGCACCGACTCCTGTTCCTCCTCCTGTCCGCCCTGCACCAGCCTCCTCCTCCTGCCTATGCCTGCTGACTGGGCTCTGAACACGAAATACGAAGCTCTCCCGGGATCAATTCCCATGGCCCGTTCACGTGTGGTAGGCCTCAAGCAGCGACCTGGCGCGGAGCAATGCAACGCAATGCAAAGGAATGGCTTGTAATGAGTTCATATGGCGACAATGATGTCATGAAAGGACTGACTCAGGACACGCTCCAAGTTTGCCAGAGTATCGAGCGGTGAACCCAGTGCGCAGCATTAGGGGTCATGGAATTCCTTGAGGCCTCGGAAATCCTGAAAGGTACCATGATCACGACGAACAACAAAAACGGCATACACACAAACTTCTGGAACTCCAGACGTTTACGCTCATGCCGCTTTTGTTGCTCGTCATGATCATGGTGCGTTCCAAGTTTCCCAAGGAGTATCTAATGGTGAACCCAACGCGGAACAAAAAGGAAGATGGGAATCCAACGCATCATTATGATGGCACCCAACCTCACTGCATAACCATAACCTCTTGGAGCCCCAAGGTGCTTATGCTCATGCCCTTTTTTCTGTTCTTCGCGCCACGCAGCGCAGCGCCACACCGTGCGAGGACCGCGCGGCGGCCGCGGGGCGCCCACGGTTTTTTGGGGAGCGCCCCCGGAGACCCTCCAGGGGCCAAGGCCGAGGTTGGGGCCGAGGCCCGGGCCGACGGGCCCCGGGCCCGGGCCGGGGCGAGGCGTGCAGCCGCCGCGAGACCATACAGTCAAAACGTACAGTAAGGACGCGTGGTGAGGACGCAAGACCCTTGGAGGCCGAAGTTGGGATTTTTTGGGGGCGGCGGGGACCAGTGAAAACGGCAAAGGACGGGCCACAGAGGCAAGGACGCAAGGGTATCCTAGATGAATGCGCGCGGCCTTACTAGGCGCGTTGACTGCATAATGGCCAAGCGCGCTCCAGAGCCCGCAAAGGAACCGCTCGCAGATGGCCTGGAGCCGCCGCAGCGGATCTGCGATGAGGTCGGGCATGTCCTCCTACAGGCGGGTTTCGGACGACAAACAAATACGTAGCCGAAGAAGGCTCAAACACACCTCAAAATACTAACAAGAATCGCCCCCAAACAATGTTTTGATTATCTTATGATATTCCTCCTGTAGAGGGACACGCCCGACTTAAATCTACGATCCACTACATCGAGGAACGCCTGTGTTTTTGTTCGGGCGTTTGAAAGTGGGCACTCTGCGAGGAAGGGACCGCGCTCGGTGACGTCAGGAGCGCCGCGGAGAAGGAACGAAGAGAGCTTCTCTGGCCACGGCGAGCCTCGGAAACGAACGTGCGACCCGCTCTCAGGAGGAGGAGGAGGAGGAAAAGGAGGGAGGAGGGAGGAGGAGGAGGCGGAGGAGGAAGAGGAAGAGGGAAGAGGAGGAGCCGGAGAAGGAGGGGGAGAAGGATGAGGAGGGAGGAGGAGGCGGAGGAGGGGGAGAAGGAGAACGGAGGAGAAGGAGGAGGAGGAGGAGGAGGAGGAGGAGGAGGAGGAGGAGGAGGAGGAGGAGGAGAGGAGGAGGAGGAGGAGGGAGGAGGAGGAGGAGGAGGAGGAGGAGGAGGAGGAGGAGGAGGAGGAGGAGGAGGGAGGAGGGAGGAGGGAGAGGAGGAGGAGGAGGAGGAGGAGGAGGAGGGAGGAGGGAGGAGGAGGAGGAAAGAGGAGGAAAGGGGAGGAGGGAGGAGGACAGACGATCGGCGCCGGTCTGCCAAGCGGGGCTCTGCACTGCCATCGGGCGGGGACCATCGGGGGCGTCCAAGAGGGGGGGTCGCAGATCTCGCCATCACTCGGACGTCCATTCCTTGTGTATTTTTCGATTTCGTGAGTGTTTTTTTCGCCAAATGATCAAGGATGCTCCTCGATGGCCGTCGCCGAGAAAAATGCACACGTCCGAGCGATGCCAAGAGATCGTGGCCCGAGGTATGTGCGCGGAGGAAGGGGGACCAGGGGACGTACTGAGATCAGAAGAGGGGCAGTGGGATCTGGGGAGGTCTCATGGCCCCCGCCATGATGCCCCCCCCTAGTCATCGCCGCCCCCCGCTTGGCCGCTCAGCGAGAAACAGGAAGAGCAGCTGATTAGAGGCCTCCTGGATGGGGTCGGAGAATCGCGCCGCATCGGCGGTGCATCGGCGACATCGACGCGAAGCAAGTCGGGCTTCGCATCGAGCCGCATCGCCGTTGCATCGGCGATGCGGCGCGATCCTCCGACCCCGGCTGCTCCGACCCCATCCAGGAAGCCCAGGGCCCCGGGGAAGACGGGGCGGGCTGAAAGCCGGCTCCTCGCCCCCGCCGAAGAACTTGGCCAGCTCTGGGGGCAGCTCGCCCAGCAGGCTCTCGCCGTCCTTCCGCACACCCCCTCCCCCGCACGCCACGGGCGCCGCGTGTCCAGATCGGGACGGGTGCTGGGGGGCGACCCTAACAGGGGGGTGAAGAGAAGGGCTCAGCGGGCCCTTTTCTTCACCCCAGATGTGCAGGAGGGGCCCGACCACAGGAAGCCTTCCACAAGAAACCCAACCTTTGGACCCCAGGACGTCCACTGATTTTTGGTGTGGGAACGTTACGCTCTCCATCGCAGAACCATCGAACCCCAAGGAACCCAGGGCACCCTGGAGGCAAGCAGGGAGTTTCTTGGCATGGGTCTCCTCTGTTGGTCACCCCTCATTGCCACCCGCCCGACCAGAACGGGGGACACGTGCGGTGCCGTCGATGGGCGATCGGGGGCAGGGAGCCTCCTGCAGGGATGGGGGGAAGGGAAGCGAGGGAGGCGGGATGAGAGAAAGGAGGGAGAGGAAGAGGAGGATGTCGACGAGGACTGCGAGGACGACGACGGACGAACAGGGAGGAGACAGATGATGAGGAGGCGGAGGAACAAGAGGAGGAGGAGGAGGCGGATGAGGACTAAGGGGAAGACAGTGCGGATGACACGGAGGAAAGCTGTGACAAGGAGGGGACCGCGAGGGAGGACGAGAAGACAGACAAGTATGCAAATGACGCGGAAGACAGCAAGCAGGACGATGAAGACGGGGAGGAGGACTGCGATGAGGAGGGGAATGACGGACACAAGGGAGACCCTAATGGCAATAACGACGAGGATGACTAGGGCGAGGACGGCGTTAAAGACGAGGACAAGGACCTAGGACATCATGGATGAAGTGGATGACGAAGAGGCCGAATAGGAGAAAGACGAGGGTGACAATGACGACGGGAAGGCGAGGACAACGCGGAAGACGGCGTGGGGGACGAGGATGGGGACAGCAAGGAAGACCACCAGGAGAACGGGAACGAGGAGCACGACGAGAAAGGCGTGCAAGGAGTGGAGATCCTTGGGACCTTTCGGGGCTGTCTGATGGCAAGGTTCGGGATTATTTCGTCCGCCATCTTAGGCTCCCGGGGTGTTCTGGAGCCCCCGGGAGCAGCCCCACGGGCTGCCGAGGAGGCCTCCGAGCGGCTCAGCGCCCCGAGGAGCGCGCCAGGATGCCCCCCCCCCCCCCCCCCCTAGCATGGGACATCGCGGTACTCCACACCTGAAGGGGCCCTGGGACACACAAATAAATACACACAAATAAAAACATTCCCCATATTTTCCAATATTTTCTGGGTTTTTGTCTTCCCCCCATTTCCCATATTTTCCCTTTTTTTGTCTGGGGAATCGCCGATTAATTGTGCCTGTGTGTTTCTTTCCCTCTTGAATACCACGCTCCCACTGCGCCTCGCGATCATGTACAGTCGGGGCTGATTGGAGAGGCCGCGCGAGAGGACTCAAGACCCTTCCGAGGGCCACATTGAAGGCATGGGCTGCGAAGCTCAGGACGCAAGGGTATCCTTGAGTTAGCAGGGTCGACCTGCTAATCAGTCTCGTCCGTACCTTCCTCCTCCCCGTTCTCTCCCACCGGCCAAATCAAGATGGCATGCGAGCGAATTTATCATCCGCCACCGTGCCCCCTGGCACGTTGCCTGCCATCGCTCGGACGTCCATTCCCGGTGCTTTTTGTTCGGCTTCGTGCGTGGTTTTTTCGCCAAATGATCAAGCATGCTCCTCGATGGTCCTCGACGAAAGGAAAAATGCACACGTCCGAGCGATGCCAAGGTTGAGGCGTGGTGCAGGGTGCACGTTCTCTTGTTCGGCGTCTCGACACTGGGCGGAAGGGGGGGGGGAGAAGGGGGGGGTGCCTGGCTCGGCACCTCTGCTTAAAATGCGACTGCTTGCAGCAGTGCGTCCTGCGGGGGAGACTCCACCTGCCTGAGACAGGCGCCAGAAACAGCCAAGATCGGCTCCACGTAAGGGTGGGGAGGGACACGAGGCCGAGGACACGACACAGGGGAACAAAAAGTGACATAAACATAAAAACTCGGAGGTCCGCGCGGATTTTTCGGATCGGCGCTGGGGCCCCCCCGGCGGCGCCTCCGGCGCCGCCCCTGGCGCGGGGTCCAACGCCGATCCGAGAAATCCGCGCGGACCTCCCAGTTTTTATGTGTATGCCACATTTTCTGTTCCCCTAGGAAACAGCCAAGGCCTGCTCCACGTGAGGGTCCGCGCCCATCGGACCTGCTCCAGAAACAGCCAAGAGGGCCCGCGCCCCTCGGCCAAAGAAGGCATACAAACGCGAACCACGAGGCCGAGGACACGCACCAAGGGCGTGGTGCGCGTCGAGGCCCCGTGGGCGGCCTGGCGCCTCCCCCCTGCCGAGGCTCCCGTGGGCGACCCGAAGCGCCTCCAGCACGGGCCCAGGGAAGGCCACGAAGGCCGCCACCAGTGCCCAGCATTGCCTCAGGAGTCGCTCAATATCTCACAGGAAGACCCCACGAGGTGCCAAAGGGGCTATACTAGGCTTCCAATGCGTCACAGGGAAGGCCAGGAGGCCCTCCAGGAATGACAACATCACTCAACAACCCAAGGAAGCCCTTGGGTTTTCGAGTATCTTGCGTCTCTTGGGATTCTCGGCTCAAGATGGTGTTTTAGAAATGCCTCGGATGAGCCATCGAGAAGCCAAACGAGCCCACTGAGGGCCTCCAGAAGCCCCTCAGACGATATATGACAACCCGAGCATGACCCTAATGCGGCCCAGTAAAGGCCCGGGACAGCCCACGAGGGCCCCAAGCTGGCCCCAATACAGACCCCAAGGGACTCCTCAGACGGCTAGACGGGCCCAAGATGGCGCAAGACAAGACGATGGCGGCCCAAGAGAGCCCTAAGACGACCCCACAGAAACCCCAAACAACCCCACGACGGCCCAAATACCCCGCACGAGAGCCTCTCACGGAATAGAGACGAGATGGGTCACTTGTTATGGCCTTCTGGACGGTGCTCGAAGCGTAGCTACACAAGGTGCTGCGTTGGCACGGTGGCGGCACTTACCGCAGGCAGCTAGATACGTCCACAAGCTTTCGAGTCTGTCTATTGGAGTGTGGGAGAGGAGCAAGCATTGCTTCTCAAAATAACTTGCATCATACACACAATAAGTGAAACAGCATGGAATGCCGTGCATGTGGTCCAGACATGGGCGTACACCGCAGATCTTCGACGACGAGTGTCTTCAGGCGAGGGTCCCGTACCACAAACGCTCGTTGTACCAAATCAACAGACTCTGTCGGCGTGTGCGACGGGCTTGTTTACTCGACTACTGTCCCCTTTCCATGTGGCCACCATTGGGGAACCCAAAAGGTACCGATACCGCTACTCTCTGGACCTATCTCGGGGTGCGTTCTCACCAGAACTTCGAGGCGAATCCAGCGGTGGCGACGACGGCCTGCCAGGAGGCCCCGACAAACGAAAACGAGGGAAGGGTAGCAGTAGCGGTACCTTTTTCTCCTCTGCTCCGTGGGTCCTCCCCCTCAGGCCCACCAGCCAAAGGGAAATCAAACTACGTCCTACTCGCGTCAACTTGCCATCGCTCGGACGTCATTCCCCGTGCGTGTTTGGTTTCGTGCGTTCTTCTTTTCTCGGAAGATGATTCAAGATAATCCTCCATGGTCCTCGTCGAGAAAAATGAACCGTGCGAACGATGCCAAGTCGAAGGGACGCCCCTCCTTTCGTTGGATCCCTTCCCCGCGGGAGGGGGGGCGCCCCTCAGGAGTGGTGCCAAGAGCAGAGCGCTCTGCGCGGCGCTGGGTGCCCCCCGGCGCGAGCCCAAGCCCGCCCTGCACGTTCCTGCAGGACCCACAAGAGGCCACAGCACGCCCCCAGATACAGTCAACGCTGATCGCAAGTATGCGCGATGAACATACCAGGCCCATGAAGGCCATGCCGAAGCCTTTCGAGCGGGGCTGGCCATCGAGAGCGGTTGAGGGATGGACCGAAGACTGACCGAAGAGGCAAGGATGCAAAAGGGTACAGTCGGGGCCCTGAAGAAGGAACCTTTTTCGTTGGGGAGGGGCTCCGCGTTCCTTAAGTGTTTCACAGCTTGCCTCAGGTTTTCCGATGTTCTCGATAGGAAATCGAAGTTGAACTCATGGAAGAAAGGGGCCTCGTTCCTTATTTAGGGTTCCTTAGGTCAACGCCCCGACTGTACCCTTGGGAAGTCCATCACCCGTACTGTAAGTTTTTTTTATTGCGGGACCCAAAGACCCCCGGGGCAGGCGAGCCCAGCTTCGAATCCACAAGCCGCATCGGCGATCGACCTGCATCGGATCGGCGGAACTCGGCAGTCGAGCCGGGAGAAGTCGCATCGGCGGAAATCGGCAGGCCAGGAGCCTCCATTCAGAATTCCGAATCCACATCGGAATATCCGAAGTCGAAGCGGAGCGGAAGCGGAATCCGTCGGAGTCGAATCGCATCGATGCGTCGGAGTCGAAACGAGCCCTGCCGGGGTGCCCCCAAGAGGAGGCCCCCGCCCCAAGGGGACCCCGCGAGACCACCGGCAACCTCTGGAGAGCACGCCACGCCAGGGGAGCGGTGGCCGGAAGGTGCCGAGGAGGCAGCCGTGGGCTTCCGCGACCGCGCTCGCACCCGCCGCCCCGCTGCCCCCTCGGCCTCTTGCGCCCGAACGCCCGAGCTGGGTACCCGTCGGTGGGACGACGTCGGTAAAAGCTTGTTGTTGTTGTTGTTGTTGGTGTTGGTGTTGTTGTTGTTGTTGTTGTTGTTGTTGTTGTTGTTGTTGTTGTTGTTGTTGTTTTGTTGTTGTTTCTTTTACTCGGGTCGGGCGAAAGGGGGGGATAGCAAAGGGTGGGTTTGAGAATCAGCTCACGCAGCTGATTTTCCCGGCGCCTCCGGGCGCCGGGAGGCGGCCATGTATCGAGGAATGGGCCCTTCGGTGGGGCCGAAACCAGCTGCATGCAGCAAATTTCGTGACCCCCCCTTTCCCAATCCCCCCCTTTCGTCCGGCCCGAGCTGCCCCCTCGGCCTCTTGCGCCCGGACGCCCGAGCTGGGTACCCGTCGGTCGGAAGACGTCGGTCAAAGCTGTTTGTTGTTGTTGTTGCTGTTGCTGTTGCTGTTGCTGTTGTTGTTGTTGTTGAACATTATTAATTCTAAAGAATAATTATTGTTGGGACCCCTGGTGCACGGCCCCCCTGCGCCGCCTAGGCCGCAGCTACATTTTCATCATTTTCGTGAGGAAGCCTCAGGTAATACGATGTCATCAAGATCCGGTTGTTTTGTTGTAATCCGTTTTCCCTTGCAAAAAACACTATAAAATGACATTTCTTGTTCTAATATAATCAAATTTCAAGAATCCCTTGCAAAAAATAAGGTAAAGTGGACATTCGCGCGCGCAAGACGAAATCCTTCCAAAAGCTTAGTGTTCGGAACGATTTTAACATAAAAACATCAAAAAACCAATGGTTTTTCAACAAAAAAATGTCAAAATCTCATCCCGCGCGCTCTTGCGGATTCGTAGGAAAACCAACACTTTTTAAACATTTCTGTCAAACGGGCTTTTGCGAGCAACTTTTTCGAACTTCTGCGACAACGGTTGCGCACCTGCCAGGGCCATCATCCCTGTCAAATAATACCATGCGGGACACATTCGTTTTTTCTTCGCGCGCGCACGCCGTCGTCGTCGGCCGCGGGGCCCTGAATAGTAGCCACGGTCGTCCGCATGCCACGAAGTGAAGTGTCCGAACGTCATAGGGCGGGAAGCTGGGTGTGGGTGGTGGCGAAGAGTCGTTTGGAAATTTGGTAGAGCTTGAACCGGCCCCCCCACAAAGTGGGGGTATTGCCCGCCTCCTATGAAAACCCTGGCACTGGTGAGAACGGAGTGTCCCCACGTGCTAGTAATTGTTGTTGTTGTTGTTGTTGTTGTTGTTGTTGTTGTTGTTGTTGTTGTTGTTGTTATTGTTGTTATTTTGTGTTTGTTTCTTTTACTCGAAGGCCTCGAAGGCCCAAGAGGCCTCGCGAAGAAGCAGGCCCGCCCTCGGGCGGGAGCCATGGCGGCAGCCCTTCGAGTGGGTGCAGGCCCTCCCAGAGAGGAACAAACACACGGCAACCACTCATCGACTCTGGTGGTAGGAAGGCGCCTGAAACAGATCGGGATCTGGGCATCCAGAGAAAAAAAAAAAACTGCTTCCAACGACCAGCGCGCAGAGGAGGGCTGGGAGAGAGGGGAAAGCTTCTTAGAAGGAAGCTGCTTCCTAGAAGGCGCCGCCCTTTACATCTTCAAGTAAGGCCCACGCCTTCTGAGAAGAATGGGTGCGTCGGAGAAGCCTTCCGCCCTACCCCAACTCGGGGATGGACAGAACCCCCTTTAGCAAAACGTGGTTTAGTGACAACGACCTGGGGCCCAAACCTGGCGGGCGCAAGCCTGGAAAATAACGGCCGCGGCGCCCTCTCGAGAACCGAAAACGGACAATTCACTAATCGACGTGTCACTGTTGGGGGTTCTGTCCACCCCCGAAATGGGTGCGTCGGAGAAGCCTTCCGCCCTGCCCCAACCCCCCTTTGCGCGTGGCCGAATCCGGACGCCCGATACGAAGAAAACTGGTACGATGCCCAACAACAATCGGTGTCCCACACCGGCAGTGGCCGCCGTCGGGCAGGCGGCCTTCTTCATCAAATTGACAACGTCCGCGTCGACACCGATAGTGAGTTCTGTGCACAATGAACAGGGGCTGCTGTCGGCCCTTGCACCCATTCTTTCCGTACGTACCCATGTGGATCGCCCCGGTCCAAGCTGTTCTTTTTCCAGGGGCGGCGGGACCGGCCGCAAGGCCTCTGCAACATGACACACTTCGGCCACACAAGAACTTGTGACAACAATCGACTAGCAACCCATACGTAGCTGGTGGGGCCAGGACTGCGGGTAATATGGCAGCAGAGAGCGCCGAGGAGATCCGATCCTTGGCCTGCGAGATCAATGCCGCGGCTCTGCCAGCAGCTGTCTTCATCACGCCCCACTTGTCCTCGGGAGAGAACGCTCCGACCGCAGTGCTCTGATAGCAGCACTGCATGTATTGTCAACAACCCCGCTCACCTGTCTCTACCTGGAACTCTGCCTCCTCCGTCTATTATTTTTCTTCCTCCTCCTCCTCCTCCTCCTCCTCTGCAGCCTCTCCGAACATTCCTCCCCGGTTCCTCGTTCGGTCTTTGAAACCTCTTTGTCTCCTCCTCCCTGTTCGCTCCGCCCTCCTTCCTCCTCCTTCTTCCCTCCTCCGTCCCCCCCCTCCTCCCTATACCTCCTCCTCCTCCTCCTCCGCCTGTCCCTTCTGTCACCGCTGCGGCCTTCTCCTCCCCCACCCACCGCACCAAAGTCCTCCTCCTGCCCGAGGGGCAGCGATCAGGGGGAAAGTGAGAGGGGGGGAAAAATCGACGTGGAATCGGCGACACATCGCTGATAGATCGGCGATCGGCCCCCGAAAGTGAGTCCGCACGTTCCCAGGCAAGTTGGGGCTATCGGGCCCCCGTCGGCGATCAATGGGCGATTGGGGGCCGGTGCGCCCCCCCTGTGCCCAGCCCCCCCCCTACCGTTGCCCCTGAGGTCACCTCCTCCTCCTGCTGCACAATCCCTTCTCGTTCCGTTCTCCTCCCCCCTCCTGCTCCTCCGGGGCGCGGGCGCCAGAGGAAGCACGGGAGGGCCGCCCCCCGCGCAGAGACGCGGTTGCGATCGCCAGCGCTTCTCGGGAGAGGCTGTCCAGACGGGGTACGAAATTCAATGAAAGAAGAATGCAATCAAACAAAATCTCCCGACAACCTCCTCGACAACCTCGACAACCCATGCTGATTGATGACGACAGGGCGACCCACTCCAGACAACCCCTTTGAGAACCCAGTGCGGATCCGGACAGCCCCCCTGGACGACCCCCTTTGGGCAAGCCTCCCCAGGATTGATTTTCCTTCCATTAGATATCAGAAGCCCAGACGGAGCCCGAGCACTGCACTCCGTATGGCCCCACTCCGTATGGACTTAGCCTCCCCTGAGCGGCCGACGAAAGAAAAGGTTCAGCGTGCACCGGGTTAGTTGGCCCATGGTCGCTCGTGCAGAAGATGAGCAGGCCAGTCAACCTTCTGATCCACGCTATTTCTGGACTCCCGTTTCGCGCCTGGTACCTTGTGCCTCAACCCAAGCGCGGCAACCTCGGCCTTTGCCTTGATGGCGGTTTCGATGTGGTGCAATATTTAGTGAAATATAATGGCAACCAACGAACATACACAATACTACGGGAACTGCGATCCGTCGATGCCAACACGCAATCCGAGAGGGGTCGCAATCCGAGAGGGGTCTCCTCTTCCCCTCCTCCTCCTCCTCCTCCTCCTCCTCCTCTTCCTCGTTCCTCCTCGTTCTTCTCCCGATTATGCTCCTTCCCTCTGAACTCCATGCAACCTCTTCGACACCCCTCCAGAATACTGCAGAACGCCTACAAGCCTCCGACACCCTCGAACACCTCCCCTTGCTCCTCCTCCTGCTGCTCCTCCTCCTCCTGCTCCTCTTCCTCCTCCTCCTGCTCCTCCTCCTCCTCCTCCTCCTCCTCCTCCTCCTCCTCCTCCTCCTCCTCCTCCCTCCGTATGAAGGAGAAGGGGTTCCGAGGAAAACTGTTTCTGGTGCTGGACCCAGGAGCTAACTTCTCGCCCCGGAGCGTTTTGTTGGTCGGCTCTGGGGCCCGAGAGGGCTCCGGGAGGCCGCAAGCGACGAAAAAAACCTGTCGGATCTTTCCCCCTGGAGACCGCTTTCCTTCCTCTCGACCCCGGCTCCTCCTCCCCAGAATCCCGATGACTCTTGCTGGGGGTACGGAGTCTCCGAGAAAGTCCCGAGCTTTCCCATGCCCAGCGTCTCGTCCTGCGCTATTGCTTGGCGGCCCCAGAGCCTGGGGGGGGAGGAACAGAGACCGAAAACTATGGTTTAACTCTAGGGGAACAAAAAATAGCATAAACATCAAAACTCGGAGGTCCGCGCGGATTTCTGGGATCGGCGCTGGGGCCCCCCAGCGGCGCCTCCAGAGCCGCCCCTGGCGCGCTGCGCGCGCCAGGGAGGGGGGTCCAGCGCCGATCCGAGAAATCCGCGCGGACCTCCGAGTTTTTCTGTTCATGCCATTTTTTTGTTCCCCTAAACTCAGATTGTTGTTTTGTTCGGCTCCTCCTGACCCCTCGACCAATCCAGGGGTGCGTTGGGGCCGAATCTCGAGGGGAGTCGGGCCGGGACGACGGGGAGCCTCCGTGAGGCCCAAGTGAAGGCTCCAGTGCCCCCCAAACTCAGAAGCTCGACCTCCCATCCTCGCTCCTCGCTCCCTTGCCATCGCGCGGACGTCGCTTCCCCGTGCATCTTTCGGCGTCGTGCGCGTACTTGTTCGCAAGACGATCCAGGATGCTCCTCGAGGGTGCCCGCCGAGGAGGAATGCACGTGTCCGAGCGATGCCAGAACTCTTGGCAGAGCCGCACGGGGTGCGCACGACCACGGCGGGGCCGGCGCGGCCCCCCCCCCTGCGCGGCGCGGCCGCGTACGTCCTCCTTGCCCGTGGAGCCCGTGGCTATGGCAGACACCGCTCGCGCCGTCTCCTGGGGAGGCGCTCCCTCGACGCGGGAGGGAGAAGGCCTGCAGCCACCGTGCTAGCGGCTACAGCCAAAACCGATGGCAAGGCTGCACGAGGAAGCGGCAAGACCCTGGGACGCCCGTGCCGAGGCTCTTCGAGCGCGGCGCGGCCATCGAGAATGGCTCCCTCCCTCCTCCCTCCTCCCTCCTCCCTCCTCCCTCCTTCCTTCCTCCTCCCTCCTCCCTCCTCTCTCCTCCCTCCTCCTCCTCCCTCCTCCCTCCTCCCTCCTCCTCCTCCCTCCTCCTCCTCACTTCCTTCTTCCCTCCTCCTCCTGCCTCCTTCCTCCTTTCTCCTCCACTCTCTCCTCCTCTCCTCCTCCTCTCCTCCTCCTCCCCCTCCTCCCCCCCCCTCCTCCCTCCTCCCTCCTCCCTCTCCCTCCTCCCTCCTCCCTCCTTTCTTCTCTCCCATCTCCTCCATTCTTTCCTCCCTCCTCCCTCCTCCCTCCTCCTCCTCCTCCGCCTCCTCCTCCTCCTCCTCCTCTCCTCCTTCCTCCTTTCCTTCCTTCCTCCTTCCTCCTTCTCCTCCTTCCTCCTCCTGTCCTCCCTCCTCCTCCTCCTCCTCCTCCTCCTCCCCCTCCTCCCCCTCCTCCTCTCCCTCCTCCTCCTCCCTCTCTCTCCTCCCTTTCTTCCTCTCCTCCCTCTTCTCCCTCTTCCCTCCTCCCTCCTCCTCCCTCCCCTCTCTCCCCTCCTCCCTTCGGGAGCGGCCAAAAGGAGGGTGTCCAAGAGGGGGGGTGCAAATCATGACCGGCAGCATGTGCGCGGCCCAGCGGGGGGGCCAGGGACGTAATGAAACAAGAAGAGACGCCGTGAAATCTGGGGAAATATCATGGCCCCCGCCATGATATCCACCCCCCCTAGTCATCACCCCCCTCTTTTCCGCCCCAGATCCCTCCTTCCTCCTGCGGATGGACCGAAGACGACCGGAAAGGCCAGGATGCAAAGGGATCCTCGGGACGTCGAATGTCCTCACTGTCAGTTTCGACAGTGGAGAAGCGCCCGTGCCGACGCTCTTTGAGCGCGGCGCGCCCATCGAGAATGGCTGCAGATGGACCGAAGACGACCGGAAAGGCAAGGATGCCAAAGGGATCATCGGGACGTCGATCGTCCTCACTGCCAGTCTCGGCCGTGGAGAGAAACGCCCTGCAGCCATCGTGCTGCCACGTGGAGCGGTGGCCGACGACACGGAGGGCCCGCCCATGGCGAGCTCCGGTCTCGGCCAGAGCCCTTGCCGACCCCAGCGTGATGCTCCCTCGTCTGAGGCCTTACGGTCGGCCTTGACTGGACAGGGCACGCGAGAGGACACGAGACCCTTCCGAAGGCCATATCGCCATTTTGGACGCCCGAAGTGGGTACGGAAACAGTGGGCACAATGCCCAACAGCAAATGCTGTCCCAAACCAACAGGGGACGCTGTTGGGCAGGCGGCCTTCTGTCTCGAATGGACACAGGCCGCGGCGGCGTGGACAGCGAACCCTGTTCAGAATGAACAGGAACTGCAGTTGGGCATCGTACCCATTCTTTCCGTGCCCATTTCGGGCGTCCAGAGCCATAGGAGTGTAAGAAGGCACGTGTCGCGAGGCACAAGACACAAAAAGGTACCCTTGAGCTGGCAGGGCCGACCTACTAATCCGGGCCGACTGTAGCAGGCCCCGAAAAAACGGCAAGACCTTTTCTTTCTCCACCGTCTCCGAGAACATGTCTCTTGAAACATAAAATAAAGAAAACACAACGACCGGACACGGCAACAGACACGGCTCCGGGATTGGAACACCGGAGCTGGGGAACCGGAAAGCAAACGGCGACGGAACCGGCAAAGAAGCGGTGAAACGGAACCGTTCAAAAATCGGCGCAATCGTTCCTGGACCCCCGACGTCGTGTTTTTGTTTATAACGTCGACCCCTGAAGTCTGGCTCCCTTCCCCAAGACGGGTTTTTTTTATGATGATTCGTTTTTTTACCGTCCCGAGACCTGGTAAGGGCCCCTGGAGGTCGAAAATAACGAAAAACCTCCCGGTCTGGGTTTACCGAGCCCACTGAGTCCGAGTCCTTCTTCCAGCGTCTTGACTGCAGGCCACCTAACTTCGCGCCCTGCGGGATTCCTTCGCGTCCTCGCGCCGTGCCCTCGGCGAAGGAGGGTCACTCTGGCCTGGGGCGCGGCTCATCTTCGCGCCCCTGGGGGGGGGGATAGAAGACACATCCGTCGCCCGAGGCTCGTGGTCCGAGCCCTCGGCCGCTTCAGGACGCTTTCCAGCCGCGGGATGCCACTTTCAGCAACTGCGCCCTGCCGAGGGCGTTCCGAATGGCCACGGCCCGAAAGCCGCGCGAGCCTCCTCGCTGGACCTGGGGCGCCCTCGTGTGTCCTCCGCTTGCCTGCCTCCGAGGACTGGTCCACTGAGGTGCCTCAAGAGATAACCTCCATCGCCTCCTCCCCACCCTCGCTCCCCTCGCCCCTCTCCCCATGCGATGGCTGGCACTCTGGAGCCAGCCTCATGTCTCGCCATCGCTCAGACGTCCATTCCCTGTTTTTTTTGTCGGTTTCGTGCGTGTTTTTTTCGC